GAGGCCCTGGAGGAGCCGGAGCTGCGCTTTCAAATCAGCCTCTCCATCTTCCAATTTACTGCCAGTCTGAAAGCACAGAGCCTTATCACATTCATCTGTTTACTACACCTCCATACACCTCTCTGCCTGTGTCCTTTAGCCCACTACTACTGCTCCTCACTCCCCCCGTTTCTCCCTCACTCTTTCTCACTCTCTCACGCTCTTCTCTCTCTCTCTCTCCTTCTCTCTTTCTCTCTCTCTCTCTCTGTAAGTGTAGGTTTATTGTCTTGTCTCTCTTTCTCTGTCTCCTCCTGTCTCTCTGCCCCTCTCTTTCTCTCTCTGTCTTGTTCCTTCTCTCTTTGTCTCTGTTGTTCTCTGTCTCTCTCTCTCCTCCTCCATCTCTCTATTTCTGTGTACCTCTCTCTTCCTCTGTCTCCCAATCATACTTTCATTCTTTCTCCATCTCTCTTTCTCTATCTCTGTATGTTTCCTTGTATTGACTTTTAGATCCTCATTTCTCTTTATTTCGTCCCTTCTCTCTATTCATTGTCTATCTTTCTTTCTCTTTCTCTCCTTCTCCTTTGCTCTCCATTTTTCCTCCCATATCTCAGATCTTCTTTCTCTTTTGTTCCTTCTCTTTACTGCTCTCTTTTTGTAGTTTTTTTCTTATTTTCCTCTGTTTCCCACAAACTGTCACCTTTCTCTCTGTCTCTTTCTCCCTATCTCTTCTTTTTTTCATTCTCAGTTTCCCTCTTTCCCTCATATCAGTTTTCAGATCTCTGTTTCTCTCTTTCTCTCTCTCACTCTGCTCTCTGGTGTTCTAGGGTTAATATCTCCTCAGGTTTGGTCCTGCTGTAGTAAATCACCGCAGAGTTCCTGAAGGCCAGTGCTGATGTACAGCTCAGTGGGCTGACCAGTAATCTAGCGGGGGGGCTGGCCATGACAGCTTTAAGCCCATTCTATTACACACCAAGTGTGATTTAAAGGAGCCAGAACGTTCTCTGTATTTCTTCTGGAACGATTGATATCCCAGCACTGTCAGCTGTGAAATAAAGAGAGTTTTTTTTAATAGCGAGAGCGAGGAGAGGAACTAGCGGTTGCGACTTGTGCCGGAGGAGGAGAGAGCAGAGAAATGGCTGCCCTCGAGATCTATCAGCCTGCGCGGAGAGGATGTGGGGAGGGGAATTAGGGAGAGATTGGTTTCTCCAGATGACCATAAGTCACAGAGCGCGTATCGGACTCCAGTCTACTTGGGAATTGCACGAGAAGTAGTTTGTCAAGAGCAATGAGACAAAAGGCCCAGAAGGCCCTGTTCCATCTCTGTGTTCATTTGCTTTGTGTATTAAGTGCTGTCTGTCTGGCTAATGCGAGCGCAGACTAAGATTGCGCAATGAAAGTTTATTGTTTTCCTTATTGATTATTGATATCTTTAATTATTGGTCGCATCTGCCCATTTCCCTTTTAAATCAGCTAGATTTGACCTTTGACCCTCTTAGGTAACATCTGTTGCAGTAAAGAGGTTGTTATTGGGCTACTCTTTCTAATTGATAAATGAATTGTAAAAGTCATGGTTAGCTTTGTGGACACATAGAGACTGTCAGCTCAATGCATAGAGATTCAGCTAAGTTACATTACAGGGCCTTAGGCCTCCCTGTACTAAACTGGTGAATTTATAAACCATATGTTAAAGTGATAAATCAAATTTACACCATTTCCCCCTGTAGTCAGTAAACCAAGACATATTTAGGTTTGCATTGGAGTGATGGGGCTAATGTAGCTAACAAGTAATGGAAGCTAAAGGCCTACTAGGGATGAACAGTTGTTAGTTAGTTAATCGTTGTTGTAATAATGGTCTTTGCTGCTACAGCCATCCGTGACTGGGAGTCCAGGAGAGCATAATTGGCCTTGCTTTCTCTGGGTGGGTAGGATGACCCTCCCTTCCTTCCTTATCACCATGATGCTAGCCAGTATAGGCATCTGTTAGCTGATAAACCAGAATTGGCAGTTAGTGGTGTTCTTCAAGCATGTTGAGCTGTTCAATGCTGTTGTGTTATCAGTAGTTTGAAAAAATATTAGAGATGGCACATCTCGGATGTCTCTCAGAGGAAGCATGTGCTAGTCTATACCCTCTTGGTAGCATTATGTGATGGGGAGACCTAACTAGCAAGTGGAGTCAGATGTGACTAAAGCCCATTTTACACTGTGTGATTACAGCAGTCTTTTACATTTACTGCATATCATCCTACACCTTACACAATACACCCTACGTGGGATGCTGCAAGTAAAATCTTGGTCAAGCTCCACATCAGAGTGCACAGCAGATTATATAGTTCTCTAGTGATAGAGTTGCAAGAAGTTGACAACATTCTGTGTGCACCTTATTTTTGGCTGAAAAATAGAGCCATGCAAGCAAAAAAAAAAAACAGCAGAGGACTGGCGATGCATTGAAATAAAATGGCTAAGAAGGAGAGGTTAGAGTTGTTCTTGGCTGGTCAGTAGGCTAATTTTTCTGTCCACTATGTGGTAGCTAGCTCTGTTATTTAACTGCAGGTGAACTAAAGGTGGAGCCAGACTAGTAACATAAGCTAATATTTTTAAACTTGTGAACAATAAAGTTTTTACCTTCATTTATTACCTCTCGCTCCACCTTGCACGCACACACACATCATTTCAGGCTGCACCTTATTGGTTGTTTTTAGATGTGTGTTGTAGCAGAGGACACTGAGATTTTGGATTAAAATTTCTGGCACTGCCAGAACTTTATCATAGGCTGTCTTTGCTTGCAGAGGCAGTAAATCCGTTGTGAAGCATGACACATTAAACATTCAAAGACCACCGATTTGAGCTCACGATGAAAGAATTATTTCACAGTTTGCATTTATGCCAGTGGCAGCATTATCATGATGATTATCGCACAGTATAAACCTGCCTTAAATGCGAAAAAAGATTCTCTAACCATGTGACATTAAAGAGAAATTCCACCAATTATTCAAAATTTCTACTAATTAAATCATGGAGATGTAAAGAAAGTAATTCAGAAAGGTTTGATGTGTTTCGTTGTAAAGAAACTTTCAAACTCAGATTTCTATATCCTAAAGTCCTTTAATTTACTGTCCAAAACGAGTGAATCAACATGTGTTGTCTAATTGTGTGTATGTAATGTTGATAATGGTAAAATATTTGTAAGTCTCAATACATGCATTTTCTTTAGAGATGATTTTTCGTTACAACGCCCTGCATGTACCTCTTTGATGTGAATATATTTTTAAAAATAAAATTTAGTCCAAACCTTACCTCAGAACTATCATAAAATAATGTATCAGCCATCAGCCTGCACAGGCGTAACCATATATATAACAACTGTCTGTGACGGAGATTTCAGAGGCATTAATCTCTTCAGACATCTGGTTCCTGTCATCACCACAGTGAATAATTCTGAATCAGTAAGTTTCTCTAGAACAGAGCATTTCACATCAAAACTCTAAGTTACTTAGTTCACATCTTAACCATGTAATCATGTCGCAATGTTGAAATTTCAGTTGAATTCCCCTTTGTGTTCACTATTATTTTCTTCAGTGTATTAAATGATATATTCTAATGGCAATATGTAGCATATAATTGTAATATGTAGTTTTATCGTGTAGCTGTGTACCCAGATAATTATCATGCCTGCATGACACTGTTGCCTCCAACTGTATCAAGTTGTTAAGCAATCAAATAGTTTTGCCTGAGATTGTATGATATACTGTTATGTCAGAATCAGCAAAAGCACATTGTATAGTTATAAACAGTAGCAGCCAGCTTGAAGTGTGAGTTTTGTCTGATTTGTCCATTTTCAGTGAAGTATTGAGTATAAGCTTTTATTATTTGTTAGCCATTAGCTTTGTAGCTCCAGAATAAACCACCAAAAGCTAATGTCTTTGTATGCTTTTTTTGTATTCTAAAATTAACCAACAAAAGCTATGATCATTCTTATTTTTGAATTTTTATTTTAGTGATTTTAGACAGCATGTGACTTCACAGCTAAAGTCAATTATTATTATGTAAAGAAACAATTTTGATTCTTGTTTTTCAGCTTAAATTGTAAAATGCATTTACAATTACAAAATACAAATACAAATTCAAAAATGTAAAATACAAATTCTTGTCTGTCCTGTGTTAAAATCGTTTTCATGTTTAAATATAATTTTATTTTGATGATAAATCTTGTCCCAAGATTTTTGTCAGTAGTTTCACAAAAGCATTTCATTAAAAACAAAAAACAGAAATGTATTTTAGAATTACTCCCTAAAGGACAAAAGACTGTCTCTTTGGTGAAATCTCTTTTTATAATTCTGACAAATTTGGCTAAAATACTGACAGCTTCATGTTATGTGTGTCCCTTAAAAAGCAGCATGTAGACTGACCATGATTTCAGTTAATAAACTTTGGCACTGTTCCAAAATTCCTAACTGGTGCAGTGCTGTGCTAGTGGTGTAACTCATGAAACATAAAATTTAAAACTGAAAAAAGTAAAAGCAATATTTGCAATTTTCTGTGTACAATGTGACTTTGAAAGTACAGTGGCTATAGACCATATTGTAGAAAAGCTCAGATTTTAGTCATTATGTCAGTGGTGCTATGGTCAGCAGTGTTGCAGTCACTGGCATTACAGCTTCACTGACGTTGTTTAATATGACAGACTACGTTCAGTTGAATTACATATCAACATTCGTAACCCTTTTGCCAAGGCAGTTGGAAGAATGACCCAAAAGTCTTCGCTGACAGGCTAAATATGTGCTAAATTGAATTTCATCAAAGTATCACTTTAACCTAATCCTAGTAATATATTTGCTGTCACTCCAAAGGGGCGTGACATGGCAGAATTTGAGACGTGTTGTGCTGTAACAGATGTAGAGCTAATGGGGAGTTAGATTGCGCCCTGTTGTTTTTGTTTAAAGTCCCCATTTACCCTCAAAGGTCATGTAACTGACAGCCCATGTCCTCCCTCTCTCTCTCTCTCTTCCTCTCTCTCTCCATAGATCACCTTCTTCATGTTGCTGTCGGCGGTCTGCGTCATGTTGAACCTGGCTGGTGCCATCCTCTCCTGTCAGAATGCCCAGCTGGTCAACTCTCTGGAGGACTGTCAACTGGTGAGTCCACTCCCCTCATGCACTGCCCCCAGAATCGTGCAAAACAACACCTCAGTGGGAGAATAGTGAACTAAAAATAGGCTGACCTTAACTTACATTCCTCTAAAAATCTGATTTCATTCTCATTTTAAGCTCATTCAGTGCCTCGCATTCGTCTGTTGGTGATTTTTGTGGAAAGGGTGCCCCCAGAGAATGAATTCATTGATCTTTTTTATTTTGAAATTCACAGGAATAACTGCAACTGACAGCCCCATTTTGATACCTCAAAATCAGAGACGCAAATCCGATCTTTAAAGGATCCATATCCTGCAGTTTTGCTGGTTTTTATTTTTCACCCCTGAGGTCCACTTATAGCGCTTAAGTACCAAAAACAGTCATAGTTTTTACATCACCATTTTCCATCCTCTCTTTATCCCTTAGAATTAAACAGGCTATTTGATTACTAAGCCTGATACATGTAAGACTGATATATGTAAATGAGCTCTGCTTTCATTGGCTGCTCTGTAATGCACTTCACTTACAAAGCAGTCTGAGCTGAAACACTCCTCATAACTTCTGCCTGAATATCTGGAGCTAAACTGCAGGAGGCTAAATTGGTGGATGTATATAAATGTGATGGATTTTGTGACATCACAAAAACAGTGAATTCAAAATGGGCATTTTAGTATCCATATATGGACTTTATATACAAGGAAATGGTACATTTTAAACATCAGCAATGTTTACATTCTACAGGACAATCTGTTTTTTTTATATGGGTCCTAAAAACCAGCATGAACACTGACCACTATCTCTGTTAACAAACTTTGGCACTGCTCCCACGTTCCTAACTGGGGCTTCATCCTAAACAAGTCCTTCTACAATTACTGGCAGTCTTGGTAAAGAATGAACAAAAAATGCTGTGACAAACAAACTTTAAACAGTTCAGTCTTACACTGTAAATTTAACCATTTAAAACAACATTATGTAACATTTTTACTGTAAAATAACAGCTTCAAAGTCATATTTATGGTACACTGACTTATAATAGGGAATGCCTGCTATAGCACTATGTAACTTTGGAGGAGCGGGCAACTCTCATGAGGACTGCGTAGCGCTTTACAGCACCATGTCGCACATCCACAACTATGGGTCTTCAGCTAGCTATAAGAGGCTAGCTCAGCATTCCCAGCATGGACATCATGGCAGAGACTGCCAGAAGACTGAAGACGATGTTGTCGGAGGAAAAGACAAAGAGGGAGTGACCGGACAAGAGTAAATCTAAGACTGGCTTTTACTGGTGAGAGCTAAAAGAGATGAAAAGAAAGGATGCAAGGCAGTCTAGCGGCTAACAGGAAAACAATGAAAATTTGAGAACAGAATGTAAAGCCCTGCCAATGTTATTTATTAAAGACTGCAACGTAGGCTGTAATCTTATCTGTCATCCCTGTCTCACAGAGTTTTGTATTTTTACTGGATGCCTAAAAGTCAACTAACTTCAGTCCTGTTTCAGGCTCGCATGCAAAGAAATAAATTCATCTCACGCCAAAAAGTTTGGTCAGCCTTTGTCAGTATCATGCCAAATAAGCCTTGAAAGTTTGCAACCTATAATAAAATCCTATAATATTACTCTACCTTGTAAGTCGACATGATTCTTTCTCTTCCGATGTTCTTTGCAGGTGCTGTGCCGAAATTAATCTCCCAGTTAGAATCCGACCCCCCTTTATGCGCATGCACGTCACGCAGGCATATGGGCACTACAGATTGCACTCACGATTTCATTTATTTACAGTAGCCTGTAGCATCCATATGCCTGCATGCATGCGAAGGGGAGTCGAATTCTGTATCTTTTAGCTCTTCAACAAATGCTTGTGAACATGAGGGGGACTTACAAGCGCAATTTGTATTCATGACAGTGACGTAAAAGTGGAATACACTCTATAACTGTAGGGGGAGCCCAAGAGCAAAAAATACCAATTCGCGCATAATGCTGGTTTAATCTTCATATTTTTGACTCCACCTATATCGTGACGTATCACCCTGTCTTTAGTGATCTGGGCCCTTCAGCACAAACTCAGCTTTTCAGTTGTGCCAGTTATTGAAAACAAGTATGTGAAAGAATAACATCCAGGGCCTTGAGTGCTGACTGATATATTTAATATTCAATTTGACACACAGTAACTCATATCTTCAGAAAGCTCATCTTCTCTTCTTTAATGTACAATGTGATGTGTGGTGATCTCAGCGCATTGATTGCTTGTAAAGCTATTGATCTCAGGGTGTTGATTGCTTGTGTAGTTATTAGAGGCATTGTGCTGGCAATGTGTTGGTGGTTGAATGGATCTTAGAATGCCTTACATTTTCTGGTGTTTTTTTCCCTTTCACTTATATCATTTGTGTGGTTTTATGCATAATTAATTTTTACATGACCGCATTGCAGCCTCTCTTTATCACTAAAAATGAAGCAACTTGTAACTATGTCTGTATATCTGTATATCTATATGCTATATCTATATCTGTCTATATATGCACACTACTTGTGTGTTGCTGTCCTGTATTGTGCCTCATTTAAAAGGCAACACTCCTTAGAATTTCTATATGAATTTGTGGGGCTAAACTGCTGTTGTTGGTGCTCTTGACATCATAAAAACAATGAATTCAAAACAATATTTTTTTGCAGCTTAATTTCCAGATATGGACTCTATGAACTGGGTAGTGAACAATACATTTTGAAACTTTCAAAAAGCGAGGGAGGGCCCCTTAAAGTGTTCTTAAAGAGAAATCTAGGCTTTTAGGGACTGAAAAGATTTACTAGGCCTTTAGCACCAGATTTCAGTTGCAAGTACAATGCTTTCTACTTGAAAAAGAATGTGCGAACAAAACTGGCATTCAAGCTTAAACGTGATATATATGTGCTGTGCACGTGGAAGATTCTCTCCCTCATACATATGCATGAGAGGAAAGACTGCACAGAAGGTGAGAGAATCATTTAAAGTGGGTGGAGTTATTGGAAGCAGATTACACATTCTATTAGATTTACTTAAGCCACCTTGCAGTTTTGAGTGGAATTGTCTCCACTTAAATGTAAAATGTAGCCATTTCATTTACTGTCCAAAAATATCGGTGAATCTACATGAGTCTTCTGAGTTTTTATATTTAATGTTTATAAGTTTTCTATGAGGGCTATTGTGCCTTAGAATGCCCAGCAGGTACCTCTCTGCCATGAATGACTACTTTTTAGGCCAAAGCTCTATCTCAAAACTAGCCCAGTCTCAAGTATGTAAATTAAAGGTTTCAGTCTTGTCTCCGTCTCAACATCATTTGGACTTAGCCTTATTTTGGTCTCAGGGTATGACACATTTGTCCTCAAGACTAGCCAAGTGCAATGCCTCCGGCTGAGATAACTGGAAACTTTTTTCTATCAGTATTGATTATCAACAACACTCAAACAAATTAAAACAGTCCTTTCTATGTATGTTTAAATAAAATCCGTTCTCAGCTGGTTGAGGATCTAATTGATTTTTCTATGAGGCTTAACTGAGTATTATTTTTTTGGGATGTTCATTGGTTCCAAAACTTAAACATCCCCTGAGGGCAGGTCAGAATGTTATTATTGTTGTTTTCATTTAATAATAATAAGGATGTATGTTATTTGGTTTATATAGTTAATTTTGGTGGTGATTCTCAATAAGTTTTAGAGAAGAAGGGACAGAGCATAATCTTACCATCACTTCCAGAAGTAACAATTCAAAGCTAGACTAAGGCTATAATATGATAGTAATTAATAATATTCTTTCTCTGTCACTGTCGCTGTCTGTGCTTTGTGCTCTTTGTGCCTCTGCTTCACTGTTTTGCTGCATTTGTCCTCAGTATTTCTTAAATGCTTAAAATGTACTTATATGGCAGTATTTTAGCAAGCTAATATATATGGCTACTCTGGTAGCTACAGTGGCTTGTTGCTGTGCAGATAATGTTGCTAATTAAGCTGGATGTTAGATAGCTAGCTGGCTAACTAACAGCTAGATAAGGAAAGTAAGTTTGGTATTTACTTTTCTATCAACTAATAACTTCCAATGATGTCTGTATTGGCAGAATAATGTTTGATCCCTGAACTCAGTTAGATAGTTCTCTGTTTTGTAATGTAGTTTAGTTAGCATGGCTACCAAGCTAATTTACTTTAGTGGCCGCCAGCTAAATAACTGCATCTAACTTGGAAAAGGCTATATTTTAAATTAATCAGTTAGCAGTATTAATTGCATTTAATTTTCTATGCTTTCATTTTACCGTTTGCTAATATGATTGCTTACTAAATCATTTAAACAGTTTAAAGACTCATTTAATTCGGCTTCTTAGCCAGCCTACTAAGCCCTGTAAACATTTTATTGCTGAGTGGAAATTTCATGATGAATGGACTAATAGAAATGCTTCAAAGGACTAATAGAATGGACTAATAGAAATTGCTTAGACTAAAGTCTCTTTACCTTAACTTACATTAAAAATAAGGTGACACTTTTTTTTAGTGGTCCTTTTTTAGATGAAACAAACACTCAGTGGACCCTCAATAACGTCAAAAACAGGGTTAGGATTAGGTTTTAGGTTAAGGTTAGGGTTAGGATGAGGGCCAGGGTTAGGGTTCGGTTTTGTGTAAGCCTGGTTTACGGTTTTGCGTAATGGAAGTAACATATTAATAGCACATCTACTTAATGTAAGTAATGTATCAACAGTACATCTACAAGATATTCACTTCAATGTATTCAGATGCTGCTTCACTGATATGTTGTTGTTGTGTTGCTGATAATCTGTTAAGGGTTTATTAATCATCTACAAAGGACCACTCCAAATAAAGTGTTACCAAAAGTAACGAACATTTTTGCCCTCTCCTGTAACGTTACCATTTTGGAAATACTTATTTTTCTTTGATCAGCAGTGATATACAATGTATAATGAAAGAAAATGAATGTAAAAATTTTAAATTCTGAAAAAAATCTTAAGCTGGTCTCAGTCTTGTCTGAGTCTTGACC